GCCCTTTGCCCATCAAGTGTTCTTGCTGGCTCTGCATCTTGACTTCCAGGCTGACCACAGTGGTTACAGTGCAGGATTCTGGGAATGAGGTTGCAGGTGCTGAAGAGTCCCAGGGTGCAACTCAAGGTGATCATTGGTTATTGCCAGTGCCCTTGACGTTCTGCACACCTGGTCACGACCTTTCCCTCCTCCTTTCTACTGACTCACCTGTGGGTGTAGAGTTGGGAATGCTCATACTTTGGAGAACATCTGCTCCTTACCTTGAGTCTCAGTAGCTGTGCTGGGAAAGGTTTCCAAGGGTGGTCCATGGATTTCCTTCCCACTTACACTCTGTGCACTATTAATCAGCCTGCCTAGCTTCTTTGGACCTCAGTCTTTTTGCCCATAAAAGGGATACTTTAGAGTTATGAAGTTTATAGAATTTTTGTAAAGACAACCTTTGAGGCAACACCTAATACTTCATTACATTTTTTTAAAAAATGGAAATAAAGAAAAGCAAACTTAGTGCTTCTGTTTCTAGTATTGTCAACCTAGAAATATTCTTCAGCTATGCAAGTAAGCAATTTAGTGAGGGCTGGTAAGGCTTGCAGCTCACACTGCCAGCCCATCATCAATCTGCCAGCAGTTTACAAGCACAGCTGCCCTAGCATGGTTACAGGACTGTGATCTCTTTCCCATATGGCGATGCCTCCTTTAGGTATTAGATAAATGGCAAACACACTACTTAATGCACTGATTAAGCTTAATGCACTGATTATGAAATAAGGAGAATCCCTAAGGATCAAATAAAAGAAGCACAAGATAGAATTAAATTAGGAGTCAAAACTACATGGGGGAATAAATACAGAGACTGGATCAGGGACATCGAGTCTTGGATGCATGAGGGGGTAGGGAGAGGGGAGCCGAGGCCAGGAGTGGTACCAGGAGGTGCCTCCCAGGCTGCTGTCACACTGGGATGGCCCCAGTCCCTCTTGATTGGTCACAACCCTCCCATAGATAGCTCAATGCCTAGCCCTCTCTGTTGGTAAAGATTCTGACTCAGGTTGTGGATTTAGCTCAGCAGCGTAAGTGCTTGACTGGCAAGCCCAAGGTCATGTGTTTGATTCCTGGTACCAAAAAAAGAAAAGAGTTTGACTCTCCTCTCAGCTACTCTTGGGGAAAAAGGGATAGAGCAAGAGGCAGGGAAATAAGATCCAACTTCTGGAAGCAGACCAGGAAACTTGATCTCTCCAAAGACTCCAGACAGTTTCGCTAACCATGTTTTACTGCTATTTTGTGATTTGGTTTAGTTTTGGTGCTAGGGATTGAGCCCAGGGCCTCCTACATGCAAGTACACACACTCCCACTGAGCAATACCCACAGCCCTTGCATGATTTTCAAGTGAACGGGATAAAATGTGGATATCTCTTGAGTTTAACTTAAATTGCATTTATTTTTATGTTATATTTTATTTTTATGTTAATACTCATCAGGATGGACTGATATAAGCTATGTGGGTTGAAGCATAATTTATGTTCTTTTTTTAATGGTAACTTGTTAATTAAGCAGAACATTAAGATGATCTTAAAATCTAATCTATTATATTTATTTTTAAGAAATTGAAGAAAATCATGTGTGCATAACATTTCATGTGTAAAGATTTTCACTGTAGTATTACACACACTGAAGTGTTATCATGCACACACAGGCATGTATATGCACATATATATGCACACAATTTTTTCTAAAGCATATAAGCATAACTACAAATATTATATATCATGATCCTTTATCTCTAAAACATGTATTTCCTAAGAATAGAATATAATCAGAAAGCAGCTAAAAATTTCTAGAATTTATTTTGGTACTTTGTCTAATCAACTGTTCATGCTCCAGTTTTGTTGGTTGACTGCATAATAACCCTTAAGAGTTTCCTCCTTCCAGCACAGGGTCCTGTTTGTGGTGAGGTACTGCATTTGACTGTCGTGTCTCCTTCACTTTTTATTTGATGGATATGACAGTTTTGACTAGCTGACTTTTCAAAAATAGGATGATCCTGGTCTTGTGCTTTCCCCACTTCCTTGTACACTGTTGGGTGCCAAAGCACTTAGGAGATGGTAACTGCTTTCCATGATGCCCAAACATCCATCCTAGGTAATGTTACTTTGTCAAGGAGCTTTCTGATCTCCCCAGTGGATCAGCACTGAATTTCCCCCTCCCTTGCAACTAACAAAGAATCATGTGTCTTCATCAAAATGACTTTTAATGACCTTTAAAGACAAAATCTACTGATGATTCTTGCTGGCCTAGTTTTTACCATGACCATAACATGCTGACCCCAGAGTTACTAGAACTCCAGTGCTGCTATAAGGAAGAGCTATCCCTTCTCCCTGTCTGTCTCTGAGTGTAGGTTCATGAATTTCCACTTTCAGAGTTATAATTGTGTTATTATACTGTGTTCCTTACCTTTCCATTACTAAGACAAAATAGCTGACCTACACAATTTACAAGAAGCTCTTGATTGGTCACAATCAAGCTCACAGCTTCAGAGGGTTTGGTCCATGGTTATCTGGCTCTGAATGAGGAACAGCATGGTGGAAGGGCACAGCAGAGGAACACTGCTCACCTTGCCACAGCTAGGAATCAGAGAGAGAAAGAAAGGGCTGGGGACATGACACACCCTTCTAACATACCCCTCAGTGACCTGCTTCCTCCAGCTGGGCCCTGTCTCCTAACAGCCCTTTCAGCTATGACCTGATCAGTGGAATAATTCATTGATGAGGTTAGTGATCATGATCCAGTGTGAAAGTCCCACCTCTGAACATGGGAGACTTTGGGGAAACATTTTAGATCTAAACCTGAACATATATTTAAGTATTTTAGTACTGAAATTGTCCCAGGTTTGGCCAGTGGAGACATTGTCAACTAGTTTTGGTGTTCCTTGTGGTATTTCATTTTCCCCCTTCTTTTTTTTTTTTTTTTTTTTTTTTTTTTTTTTTTTTTCCCCCTTCCTTTCTTTACTCCTTCCTTTTCTCTTGTTTTTATTTTAGCACTTCTTTGGAGGAAGTGTTCCAGGTCCATCGTCTGCCTTCCCTGATCTTTCTTAGTTACTTGCTTGTTGCTGGAGCACAATATGCAACACATACAGCTTAAAAGAAGAGAGATTTATTTTGGCTCTCAGTCTGGAGAGATTTGAGTCCATCACTGGCTGGCTCCAAGGCAGAGTGGCATGGCAGAGGAGGCTTGCATATGGCATGGCGGCAGAAAGCTGAGAGAGATCAAGGAAGGTGGGAGGGAGACAGACCCATCTAGGCTGTGTCCCCAGTGACTCACTTTCTCCAAGCAGGCTTCACCTTCCAGCATCACTTAATCGCTGTTAGTCACTGCCTTCAATATTCCACAAGGCAGGTGAGGCAAGATCAGCTGATTAGGGCTGGTGTTCTGATCTCTAGTTTTCAAGGCTAGGTTTTTTAGCTAGGTCTTGTTCTGGGGGGAAAGAGAGTTTTAGAGGTATACATTCTGGGTAAATTCACAGAAGCACAGTTGTAAGGTCAAAAGTAAATGCATGTATCCAATTCTCCAAAAGCCATGGCCAGTTTGCAGCCCTTCCCCCAACTTCCAACAGCCTAGCCAGCAGTGTTGCGTTGCTAATGTTTTATTGTCAGGCATCTGCTTGTTGCCATCCAGATGAGTGACAAGTGTCATCACAGTGTGACACTTGTGACAGATTGCATTGATCATATCCGCAAAGTTGAACATTTTTTCATTTGTTAAGGGTAATCATATACTTTTTGTTTGTTTGTTTTGAGACACGATCTCATTGGTCAGGCTGGTCTTGAACTTGCAACATTCCTCCTGCCTCAGCCTCCAGAGTGCTGAAATTACAGGCATGTGCCACCACACCCAGCTCTACTTGTTCATAAATTGTGAAGATCTTTGGCCAACTTTTCTATAGCATTTTTAGTTCTTTATTTCTTTGACTTTTAAAAGCTCTTTGTAAATTTGGTATAGTAGTTTTTTGTCTGTAGTATATGTTGTAATTTTTTTCTGGTTTGTCATTTGTCATTTAATTTTTCACTGTGCGTATGGTAGATTTTATTCTGTGCAAAATGTTTCCTTTTACTGCCATTTAATTAAATACACTGACCTTTGATTACCCCTAGATTCAGACACATAGTTTGACAAATGTCTGCTATAGACCTCTCCCAAGCAATTGAGGTTTCGTCATCAGCTTTCATCCCACTGCCCAGAATGAGAGCTCAGGTCAGAGGTCAGCTCTCATTTCTCAGGCGCCCCTTTGGGATTTGGTTTATTCTGCCCTACCTTAGGCACCTTCCTTTCCACTGTCCCTAAGAGGCCAGGCCTACCAGGAAAAGGAGCTCCGAGATGTCTAGGAAGGACAGACAAGAGAATGAGGAAAGGCACTGTCACCTAACGTCTTACGTAGGGACCACATCACTGCAGGGAAGAAGCATCTCCCTGGCCTCCTCCCAGGATTCCCTTGGGCACCCTGACACCCGTTGGGTCTGGAGTGAGGTATATATACAGCAGGCAGAGCCTGGTGCCTACTTTATCCCATCCCACCTCACCCCCTCTTCACACTTCACCCCGGCTGGATACCGAGTCTTGATGGGGACCATGCTGGACCCAATTCTGCCTCAGCCCTGGCAGAATCCTGCGTCTGTTACCATGTGTCAGGGCACGAGAGGACACTGAACCAGTTCAGTCAACCAGCTCTCATCTCCTTTACCCACCCCCCAGGGGCCTGAGAGAGATGTAGATAGAGTAGCTCGTGGAGTGGGCCTGTGTGTCTTTCCCAGCTGAGGATGCAGAGATGAAACCGGAGGGGTGGGAAGTCCTCGAGTATCATCTATGCCCTCTTTTACTCAGCTTGGACAGCTGGAGCTCAGACGGGCTGGTTTATTCCCCAGGGCAGCGTGAGCATAGGGTGTGGGGACTGGTCCTGGTGGATCAGCTGGAGAGGGTCCAGCCTGGGGCTGATGGCACTTGCTCCATTGCAGTGAGGTCGGCTGGTAGTGACAGGGATGCACTGTGCGTTACCGAAGAGGATCTGGCCGGCGAAGACGAGGACATGCCATCCTTCCCAGGCACACAGGCGGGTAAGGACACCAAGGCCACCCCGGCCTCCTCTCTGGGCTTGAGAGCTCCCTGCCCACTCGAGGCTGGGTAGAGACTTCTCACCATGTGGCTTCAGACTCCAGGCTCTCATTTCCTATCAACTCCTGGAGAGGGAAGGACAGAGCTACGTGACCCTGGGCAGTTCAGTATGGCTCATGCCAGCCTTTTGACAGAAACGCTACCTGTCTGTAGGGCAATCCAGAGGAACCTCTGCCCTCTCCCCCAGCCAAGCTCTCTGTGCTCCAGGGCCTGTCTTCCAGCCACCCCTTACTTTGGTCTGGAGGGTGAGTCAGGCACCAGGGTTGTCAGTTGTTTCTAGCGCTCCTCTCAGGCAGTCGAGTTCGAGTTCACAGAAGGAATTTCACAGCCATGACCACCACTGCCTTCTCGTTGGCCACTGGTCACCTGCCAGAGTTTCCAGGAATAGCGGCTCCTTCCTCCCTCCATGCTGGTGGCCCGACTGCTGGACTGTAAACTTGTGCCTCATTTCCAGGAAAATATCACCTACCCAGTTCAGGGACTGATGGCCAACTTCTAGTTTACCTGAAGGGGATTCCTCAGGGTGAAGGACTTTTACTTTTAACAATGAGTCTCTGCAAACCACCCTGCTTTGCTCTTACTGAGAAGTCCCCAGGATAAGAGATTTTTGGTGCTAAAATCTAGAAAGCTCGGGGTGAATCAGAACCAGCTAGTCACCCAATGAGGCTGCCGTGTTGTGTGTCATCAGTGGGGGCCGCTGCAGAGAAGAGTAATCTCCTCACCTGGGAAAAAATGGTGAGAATTACCATGGTGATGAGCGAGAAAGCTTTTGGTGGATGTTTTTGTTTTTGTTTTTGCAGTACTGGAAATTGAACCTAGCGCCTTTCCACTGAACTATACCCCCAGACCTTGTTTTGTTTTGTTTTGTTTTGAAAATAGGGTCTGTATAAGTTTGTTAAATTGTCCAGGGTTGGCTTGCAATCCTGCCTCAGCCTTCCAGAATGCTGGGATCACAGGTGTGTACCACCGCACCCAGCTAGCAGTTGGCACCTCTTTACAGAAGGGTAGGATGGGTAGAGAATGAAGGTGGAGAACTCCTGGAATGAGCCTAGTGATGACCCTGACTTTTCAGCTCAGCCTTTACCTCTGCCCTCTTCCTGTCCCCCACAGGCCAGCCAGGACCCCGCTGCAGCCGCTGCCAGAAGAACCTGTCTCTGCACACATCAGTACGGATTTTGTACCTCTTCCTGGCTCTGCTCCTGGTGGCCGTGGCCGTGCTGGCCTCTCTGGGTGAGTCCAGGGTTCCTCCAGCCCAGGCTGCAGAGGGATGTCTTCTGGGCCCCGCCCCCAAACTCCTTGTACCCAGAACCTGGGACCAGCATCTTTTCCACTAGAAATCTTAATGACTAATTCACACTGGGAAGACTGGTTCCAAATTTCTTCCACTGGGGCTCCTGAGCCCCACAGGTAAAATGAGACAATAGGAGGCAATTGGTGGTCCTCAGCTTCAGTTCCAAATAAGAATCCCTTGATAACTTGGGAAATACTGATGTCTGAGTCCCACTTGGGCAAAGGAACTAATGCACAGTCCTCCAACTCTGTGGGTGACTCCTGTGTGCACCCAGGGCTTTGGTAAGCTTCTTTTTTTTTTTTTTTTTTTTGTCTTTTTCCTTTTTATCGGTACCGGGGATCGAACTCACGACTGCCTGCTTGTAAGCCAGGTGGCTTATGCCACTGAGCTAAATCCCCAGCCCCTGGTAAGCTTCTGAGGAGAAGGGTTTGGGCTTTGGCTGCAGACTGCTGCTTTCTCATAACATGCGTATTAGAGACCTGTTTCTCTGAACGAAGACCCCGACCCAGTTCTCATTTCTCCCTGCAGTTTTTAGGAAGGTAGATTCTCTCTCTGAAGACATCTCCTTGGCCCAGTCCATTTATAACAAGAAGCTTGTGTCAATGCAAGAAAATCTTCAAGGACTTGGTAAGCATCTACTGTCCAAGTGTGGGTGGGGCAGGGCACCCCAGTGCATGGTACCAGAGCAGAGGGGCTTCACCAGACCAAGACAAGGACAGCTGTGGTCCCTGTTTCCCTCTCCAGTGAGCACTGTCCATTCAAAGAGGCCCTGGTGGACACTTAGGTCCCAAGCAGGGGTTTCTGTGTGGAGCAGATATCTAGCCAGAGTCTATTGGCAGAGAAGAAAGAATACTCTGTTTCCAAAATGTTCTCATGAGTGAAATGAGTTTTAAGACTTTCCAAAAGCCTCCTGCTGCATCAGCCCTTTACTCAATTTGTGATGCTTTTTACCCCCTGCTTTTTTACCAGAAACATTCTAGAAAGGGATGAAGTAGGAGAAGCCTCAATAGATGGGATTACAAGTGATTTGGTCTGATGCAAATAGAAAGTCCAGGTCTGCCTCTCACTAGCAAGCATGATTTGGCAAGCCGGCTTCTCTGTGCCTTGTTCCTTTTGAGTCACAAGGCAAAAATCCCTGAACCACCTTCCCTAAGGGGAACGTGAGAAGCTCAGATATGATGACAGATGTGAATGTATTTGCAGAAATTCCAAAATATAAATGGAAACTTCTCAGCTACCTCAGGAGAGCTATTAATATGTATTCTTGAGAATGCAGTGGTGGGGTGGAGAATATGTTCTAAGTCCTGACTTTCAGATCATATAGTAAAGATGTTTTGCAAAGATTCTCTAGGAAAGGATTTCACAGCAAGACTCAGGAAATGAAACAAGATCAGGAAGTCACTTGCCGATTCAGGGGACTCTGAAATGTTTAATTTAAAGACGTATCATTCTCCTGTAATCATCAGCCATTCAAAATGTGTCCCTTTCTCCTAAAGACCTGAAAGCCCTGAACAACTGCTCTTTCTGCCATGAGACTGGGCAGCTGGGACAAGAGATCAGGAAGCTGCAGGAGGAGCTGGAGGGGCTGCAGAAGATGCTTCTGGCCCAGGAGGCCCAGTTAGACCAGACTTCTCAAGCCCATGAGCTGCTGTCCACCACCAGCAATCAAATCTCGCAGGAGATGGGCAGTTGCGCCTTCTCCATCCACCAAATCAACCAATCTCTGGGGCTCTTCCTGGCGCAGGTGAGGGGCTGGCAGGCCACGACCACCAGCCTGGACCTCTCTCTGAAGGACCTCACACAGGAGTGCTATGATGTCAAGGCCGCCACACACCAGATCAACTTCACTGTGGGGCAGACTGCCGAGTGGATCCATGGAATCCAGCGGAAGACAGACGAGGAGACCCTCACCCTGCAGAAGATGGTCACTGACTGGCAGAACTATACCCGGCTCTTTGGCAGCCTGCGCAGCACCTCTGCCAAGACCGGGGAGATGGTGAAGAATATTCAGGCCACCCTGGGGGTGTCCTCGCAGCGCATCAGCCAGAATTCCGAGAGCATGCATGACTTGGTGCTACAGGTGATGGGCTTGCAGCTGCAGCTGGATAACATCTCCTCCTTCCTGGACGACCACGAGGAGAACATGCATGATCTCCAGTACCATACCCGCTATGCCCAGAACCGCACGGTGGAGAGGTTCGAGTCGCTGGAAGGACGCATGGCTTCTCATGAGATCGAAATCAGCACCATCTTCACCAACATCAATGCCACTGACAGCCATGTGCACAGCATGCTCAAGTACCTGGATGACGTGCGGCTGTCCTGCACGCTGGGCTTCCACACCCACGCAGAGGAGCTCTACTACCTGAACAAGTCCGTCTCCCTCATGCTGGGCACCACCGACCTGCTCCGGGAGCGCTTCGGCCTGCTCAGCGCCCGGCTGGACTTCAATGTCCGTAACCTCTCCATGATCGTGGAGGAGATGAAGGCTGTGGACACGCAGCACGGAGCAATCCTTCGCAATGTCACCATCCTGCGAGGTAAGAGAGGGGCTGGGCAGGATCGCGCCCAAACTTCCAAAGGCCTTGGTGATCTTCTCAGAGGCAGAAGCATCAGATTTTAGTGCTAACAGTCCTGTAGCAAATGTCCAGAACAATGGGTAGCTTTAAGGTGTCCTCGCAAACCTCTTTTGTAAGGGAAGTATGGCTTCTAATGCAGCCTACTGTACACATCTGGATTTTATATATGTATTCATTCAACTGGGTCCGCACAGGGAAATAGGAAGAATTTCTGTTTGGGAAACTACCTATGCTTGTATTTTTCCTTTCCCATCCCTTTATTAATGTTCTCATCTGCCTGTTCAGCTACCTGCCCTTCCCAGAGCTATCAGTCTGATGAACTATTCTCCACATGCCCACTTTTGGGTCAGAGTTCTCCAAGAACCAGAATCAATGACTGATAGATAGATAGATAGATAGATAGATAGATAGATAGATAGATAGACAGATAGATAGACAGACAGACAGACAGACAGACAGATAGATAGAGAATTGGCTTATATGCATGTGACAGCTGACTAGTCCAGAATCAGCAGAGCCAATGACCCAGCTGGAAGGCCATCAGACAAGAAGAGTTCTCTGGCTCAGGGAAGGTCTAGTTATTCAGGCCCTCTACTGCTTGGATGAGGTCCACCCACATTAGGAAGGGCAACCTGCTTTTCTTAGTCTAGCAATTTAAATGTCATTCGTATCTAAGGTGACCGTCACCAACACAGCCAGATGAATGTTTGACTGGGCACCCAAGGCCTGGTCAAACTGACAGTAAAATTAGTCACCGCAAGTCCATTCCTTGTTAAGTTGGCAACCATGCACATTTCCAAAGACCACCACACTTAATCTCCAAAATAAAGATAATAACAAGGTCATGGTTCTGCCTAACATAACGTAACTGTCCTGTGTACACCAAAAATACACTTGTCATTTCCCCAGAAGAAGAGCGAAAGTCCTTGAGTGAGTCTTATTCTTCTTAACCCCCAGAACTCAAATTCTATTATGTAAATTACCAATGCTTAAATGTACCATATGAAACCAACACAGTTTATGTTTTAAAGAATACAAGATAAGGAAGTAAGAGAGAGGAAATCAAGTTGTTCGCTAGACGCACACATACAAAGATATTCACAACAGAATGAGGGGGAGGTACTCACGACAAAGTCCTTATTTCTGTAACTCTTCACGCGGTCATAGTGAGTATTTATAACTACCCTCTTCCACTTCTCATTCCAAATTCTCATTGGTCTCAGCAAGCACCCCAGCAAGTTGTGGTTCTTTACCTGGCAGCATGATCCAGACCTTCTTTTCTGAAGGTTCTGGGCCATTAGTCTCCATGACTGGGTTGCACAGTTGAAGTTTTCTGTGACCTTGACCACCGGGCATGGTAATAGTATAGGATACCGAGGGTGTCTCTTGCACTTCAAGCATACGTTTCCCTACTTCCATTGTGGGGTAGTAGTGCAACTTCTCCTTTGTATTTAAGATCAATCCCTCAAGTTGGCACAGTGCTCTCTCTTTTCCTGCTGATTCAGTCATGAAGAGCCCAAAGTAGGTCGGTAGCAGCCTTCACATCCTATGTCATGTGTTCATCATTATGTCTCCCAGTGGAAATGCTCCTCTTGTTGAACTGGGACTTCTAACTCAGCAGAACACAAGCAGGAACAGGCAGCAATGATTTTACCAGTGGGGCACTAGGTAGAGTAGTAAGTGGTACCACTCACATTACCTCCCTGGATTCCTGGACCTATGAATCCTGGCTGTAAGAGAAGCTGTGCCATATACTGGATGCTACTCAGAGCATGTCCAGCCCTCTGGAGAACCTTGCCCTGTGTCTGCAAGGTGTGGGCACCGAGCTGGTGCTGTGTCTGAGTCTCCAACAGGCAGTTTTCTTGTTCCAGCAAGTCATTTACTTCGGGATGATGAGAGCCATGGTAAGACTGGTGAACTCTGAGCCTGAGTCCACTATTCATTTACTGTCAAGGAAATTCCTTGTCCAGAGTAGTGCTGTGTGAACACTGTGATGGTGGAGTGAGGAGCTGTGTAAGTCTGTGGGTAGCAGTTTTAACTGAGGCATTGCATGCAAGGAAGGAAAATCCATATCCAGAATAAGCATTTAGTCCAGTTAGAAGAAAATGTTGCCCTTCCATAATGAAAGTGGTCCAGTGTAATCACTGGCCATGTAGGTGGCTGATCACGCTGGGAAATGATACCATACCAGGGGCTCAGAATTATCTCTGCTCCTGGCTCCTTGGACAGTAGCTGTGGCCACACCTATTGGGGAGTGAAAGTCCATGTTGCTGAGCTCATGCATAACCTCTGCCCCAGCCATTACATCCACTTTGTTCATGAGCCCACTAGCTGATGATATGGGTGGCTGAGGAAAGAGGCTGACTGCTACCCACCGAGTGAATCATTCTGCCCACTCCATTACTAAAATTCTCCTCTGCTGAGGTCTCTCTTTGGTGAGCACTGATAAGGGATACAAACAACTTTCGATTTTTTCCCCCATTCAAAGAGAAGTATTCACGTACCTTTTCCCCCAATTTCCTTGTCACCAATTGCCTAATCATGTTCTTTCCAAGTCCCTGCCCATGCAGCCTAATTATTAACCAAAGCCCATGGATCAGAGTGTAAATGCACACCTGGCCACTCCTCCCGTGCAAAATGAACGACCAGGTGCACTGACCAAGGTTATAGGAGTGGCCAGACGCATTTGCTCTAGAAGGGATATCTCGACATGTCATGTCACTGGATCTCTACAAATCCCACTGGCGTAGAAGGGCTCTGAGTTTCCATCAGATTTATTTTCCACCCTCTGACACATAAATGACCTAAACAATAAGTCTAGGATAGGTTGCTGCCTCTCACTTATTAGGTCTGGTCAGCATTATGGTCATCGACATAATGGATACCTTGTAAGAAGATAAAGATTGTAAGTTAAAATAGCTGGAGAGCCGCCATCCCCCTGAGGAAGGACAGAGAAGGTACATTTCCACCTGGCCAACTGGAAGTGGTCTCTGTAGACAGGTTTGGACAAAAATAAAAACATTTTCCAGACCAATAGCTGCATACCAGATTCCAGCAGATGTTTTAACTTGCCTAAACAATGATTCAACAGCTGTAACCAGGGCCCCCACCTGCTTGAACTTATAGTAACCTTATATTCTGAGAGCCTGTCTCAAAATAAAAAATACAAGAGATAAAGCTGATAGAAACCCACTGCCAAGATCGACCTATCTTCTGTACAGGCCAAATAAGAGAGGTGAATGGGGTGGGATGTCCACCGAGTGGATAGAATGATCCACTCGGTGGTAGCAGTCAGCCTCTTTCCTCGGCCACCCATATCATCAGCTAGTGGGCTCATGAACAATAAGAGAGGTGAATGGGGTGGGGTGGGGTGTCACCTCTGCTTCTTTAAGGTCCTTGATGGTGGCTTTAATCTCTACAGTCCCCTCAAGCACTTGCTTTGCTTTGTTTTGTATTTTCTGAGGTAAATAGCTGGTACTTAAACTCTTGGGGATGCCACTTGACCTTTCCCAGTATAATAGCCCTCACTCCTGCATCAGGGAGCCAACAGGAGGACTCTGCCTCCTGCTGAGTGAAGCCAGTAGTGTGTCCTGGACCTGGGAAGAAATCACCGCAGCATGGATTCAGGGATCTGCTGTTACCATTATGATTTAGACAGAGCTAAACTTCCATTGACCACCCAACCCCCGTGAGCCCCTGCTCTGATGAGTAGGCCACCGTGAAGATAATTCTCCTGGAATCAGCATCCGCTCAGAACCAGCTTTTACCAAGGTCACTGTGGATTAGGAAAAGGAAGTGATCAGACCTTTCAGATCTGCGCCCTTTAACTCAGTATCTAAAAGACACCTACACTGGAGTCCCTTACCTCAGGGATTTGGTGGATGCCTTAAAGTCTTTCCTAGAAAGTGAGTGTCTTTGTGGGAAGGATATTGGGCCTGAAAATTTAGCAGCTTTGGCTCTAGAGACTACGGTAGGTAGCCATGGTGACCAGGCAATTCCAAACACTGCAGTTTATGTTTGGGAAGCAAAGCGTCTTGGCCGAGTCATCCAGGGAGCCCCAGGAAGATTGCAGGGAGCTCCATGATCCCACACAGCTCTTCCCTCCTCCCTCCAGAGCGCTCAGGCTCAGAACCGACCTCTGATTCTCTGCTACTCCTTGGCCGTTCAGTCTCAAGCCTGTGTTGATTTCACTTTCAATCCCTGAGCGTTTCTACTCCATGGAACATTTTTCTTTAACCTAGAGTGGTGGGGCGTATGGAGGATGATTCCATTTGCTTCTTGTTTTATTTTATTTTTGCAACAACTCATTACTGAGTTTTTCTCTGGTAGCTGTCACCTTCCCACGGTTTGTCATCTGACGCATCATTCACGTGGCCTCTGAGGTCCTGTGATCCAGGAAGGTCACTAGATGTTCTTATGGTTGATCCTCTGCTGAGTTTGTCATTTTGTTGAATTCAGCTTAAGAACAAAGGAAATTCAAAACGTTCCTGACTTCACATGGGCCTTGCAGTAACTCTTTACCATGCTCCCTTTATCCACACGTCACGAGCCATGGTTTCAACTGCTCAGTCAACCACAGTCTGAAAATATAGAATCAGAAATTCCATCTTCAAGAAACAGAGACCATAGTCACATAACTCATAACAGCGCATTGTGATAATTGTCCTATTTTAAGTGACTGCTGTTCAAATCTATCTCTTCTTATACCTAATTTACAAATGAAATTCTACCATGGGTAGGTATAAGAAGAAGCTTAATATCTCTGGTTTGGGTACTGTCTAAGGTTTCAGGCACCCATGGGGTCCTGGGATGGAGTTTCCGCAGAAAAAGAGGAAACTGCTGTACAGTAGAAAAGGCAAGTGTTGGTGTCTCTTTACAGAAAGGTAAACTGAGACTGGGAAAGTGGGAATGAGCTCAAGGTCAACCCTGGATCTCAAATCCTGACCTCTCCTCATAGATCT